ATCATCTGAGGATAAATAATCCATTTGATAAGATGTCTGTTTTTTATTTTTATTTTGTTGAAAAAATGGGTAATTTTCACTATGATCCCGTGGAGGATTTGTTTGGAAATTTGTTGAATTAGGTTGGGTCATTGGGTTATCCCAATTTCGAGATCTTGTATATTGGTTAAAATTTCTTTGTGGTTGATTATATGTTTTTGATGGATGTGTATAATTATAATTATGGTCTGCAAAGTTGTTTCTAGTGAATGTTTTGCGTGTTTTTGATGGTATTGTCATGGGTCTGTATGTTTGGTAATCCATATGTGAATATTTAGGGGCAACCGAAGGTTTAACGGTTGATTGTAAGGTTACCTGTGTTTGTGAAGGATTTGTATTTCTTGGTGTTGTTAAATTTGGGCGTATTGGTGAAATACTTTGTTGTGTAGTTGTTGTGTGTACAATTTCTTCATTTATGAAGTGTGATGGTGTCTGTATATCTTGTTGAGTAAGATTCCTAGTTCCATTGAGGTTTTCATTGTGTATAACTGTAGAGTTTAAACTATTATTTTGTGTATCGGGTAAAAATGTATTATAGTTTAATGGTGTTGCATCAATTGTTAATGGTATTACTCTTACATAATCTCTTATGTAAGATATTGTACTTATTGCTTGACTTGAAATTGATTGTGGAAAGCTTATAAATGCGGGATGAGACCATTCGGGGTCCCAAACATAATCTGATTGTTCTGTGATAGCGGTATCATCGTTCGAGTTTTGGGGTCTAAAATTTTTTCTTGCTTGTGCAATTAAATCAATATTATGTGTGAAATAATCTATTATGAACCATGCCAAGATTTTTTGTAAATCGTGTTTTGTATGTTGTGAAACGTCGTCTTTCGTGAAATTTTCTTTAATGATGTTTAAATAACTAGAGAGTAGTGTGATTTCATGTCGTACTCTTAAATGTTTAGATGTTTCTGTCGGTGAGACATTTGTTAATGGGATTTCGTTTTCTAATATCGAAATATAACTATATATTATTGCGAAAACTTCATTGGTGAAAATGGAGTTTGCTCTTTGTGAGTTATGATATTGGATGCTTTTTATATATTCTGAAAAAACTTTTGAAAATTCTAAATCAAGATCGTCTGTTTGAATAGTATATGTTCTATTATTATGGTTTGGGGAAGTGAATTCTATAGAGTAGATTCCATACTGTTGTGTTATGTTGCATATATCTTTTAGATAGTGATCTATGATTTGTCTTTTGATTTTCACATCGGGGAACTCTGTTTTACATGGACTAATTTCGGGTTCAAATAAATTTACGAGTAAATTTTGACAAAATATGTGTTGTCCTCTATCGGTATCTGCATCTATTATAAAAGGAAAGATTTCATCATCATCTGGACTTTCTTCACCTGGAGTGTGCGTTGAGCTCATTTTTTCGTTCGATGACTGTTAATATGTAATTATTAATGTGTCGAATTGGTTGATTCCAATTGTATAGATGTACTGGTTTGTGTTTGTACTGTTTTTTTATTCTTCTTTTTCCTCTTTGTGATGAATTTGAAGTTGTTTCTGAGTCAGAAAAATATAATTGATCGTGAAGTGGGTAATTTTTATGTATTGATTCTTTTAGTTTGTAAAGTTCGTCTAAACTGTTGGTTTCTGATTCTGAAAATGCGTTTCGATTTTTTGAAAATCTTTTTCGTGTTATTTGTCTTTGTTTTGTTATTATTTTCCTCTTTAGTGTTTGTCGTTTTGTTCGAATGTATCCAACTGTTTGTGTATGAGGTGTGATTACAAGGTCGTATTTTTTGTTATCTATTTCACAATTGTGTAAAATGATTGTTTGTTTATTTCCTAGGTTTTTAAATGACATAAGGTTTAGAATGACGGATGCAAAGGGTTGTTAAATGATTTCTATTTTCCTAAACTGTTAGTTCTTACGATTTTTTGGTTAGCTTAACCTGGGTCTATTTGTTCAGGGTTGGAGAGAAAAGTATATCGATTCCGAAGAATGATTTTTACTTTCTCGTGACTAGTATAAGCTAAGGTGTTAACTTACTTAATCTTACTTAGGGGTAGTGATTGTGTTCAAGGGTTGGAGAATAGTAAATCGATCCACAAGGTTCAGGTATAATTAGAACGCGAGTAGTTCGTTAGATACTATTTTAAACTTACTAAGTCTAAGATTTATCCTGGGTCTGGTAAGAGGGGGGGTCAAGTGAAGGATGAATAACCGAAGTTCTTCACTGTTTATCCTAATTTGAATGATTAGTTTTGTTTAAAAATTTCTATTAGTCTTAGGTCTTTAGAAAGGGTTGGGTAGTGAATCGACGTTTGAGGTCGTTAGACACTAATTAAGTGGGTGGGGGAGAACAAAGTTGTTCTGTTTGATCCAAGGATAAGCCTTGATGATCAAATTTGAAATTTAATTAAGTAGAAAATGATTTAAGATCCAAGGATAAGCCTTGATGATCTGGTTTTAAAATTAAGTGAATTTAAGTTTTAATAAATTTTTAAATGTGTGTAAAGGAAAGATTTAGTGTTTTATGATGTTAGTGAGTTGATGATTGCTGTTATGTTTTAGGTGATGAAGCTGGAACAACAGGATGATTTATGATTACTAACCATTTATTGTCATGCTACTAATTTTTATTTTTATTTTCCAATAAATATTTTTCAAACATGTTTTGTATGATACTGCAGAGTTTTAGGAAAACGATCTTAGATCTTTTTATCAATCGTTATTGTATAATATTAATTTTGTTTAGCGCCTGAAATGATTTTGAAGAGTAACTTCAAGGTTTTATGTTTGCAAATGGAAATCTAAATTCATTGCAAGTAGTATTCGAAATATAAAAGTTTGTTCTGGCTTTTGCCGAACTATCATATAACTATACGGCAAGTTTCTACTTTGTCGTATGTCGTCTTTGGTTCGAGGTCTTCTTCCAATTCCGGGTAGTTCTATTATGGTTCGGAATATTGGCTCTGATCTATTGAGTCGGAGAGACATTTCAATTAAATTATTGTCGTATAACATTTTGTAAATGTTTTTGTCTAATTTCTAATCTATATTGGTTAATTCTAATCTAGTAAGGTCTTGTTCGAGACTTATGGTCGCACCAGATGAGTTAGGACTGGAGTGTAACTCATAGAGTAATTTCGGATAGGGTACACCGTCTGCTCGTCACGCTATCTTATTTTCGGCCGGATAGATTCGTGCAACTTCTTAGTCTAATACCGATCCTAATCTTACTCTTATACTATCTAGTCTCAGGTTGTTTAACTAGTCTCTGCTAGGCTCAATAGATCTAGGGTATACTGGTTTATTGCGGTTGCTGAAGTGCTCGGGAGAGTCCAACTAAATTCTAAGTTAAATTCAAATCTCTCTGGTGCTGAAATTACAAGTAACTTCAGCACTTACAAATAAGTGGGTTGTTAGTTAGATGGATCATGATTGGTTAATATTAAATACTTTACATTGGTAAAACATTTAATTTATCCAATCGTAAAATATAGTTTAGATCAGGTTCCAAATAGGCAGTCGAGTTATATATAATTTCAAGCTGTTTGTGCAATATTGCTCGATTTAGGACAGGAAGGAAAATTTTTTAAAGTCTATTTCGAGATAAGTTGGCAAAGATTTGAGATACTATAGGTGATATAAAAGCACATAAATGAAATATTTCAGCCGTGAATAATGTTTAAAGCTTAATTCAGCGCTTCTTTATCAAAAACACTAAAAGGCTTTCAATAAATTTTTAAAAGTTTTTCGCGACCCTTACATTTTTGCTGTTCGATAGTGGAGCTTGCCTTTCTTTTAACAAAAGAAATGAAATCAAGTTACAAAAAAGTCAAACCGCGAAAAACTAAAATTGAGCGTGAACAAAGTTTTAGATTTTTTCCGGAAAAACACCAAGACCTATATCATAGTGCTCACTATGTTCATTAATCCTAACTAGTTGGCTAATAAATTTACTAAAATTACTGTAAATGCATGTTCTTGAATCCACCATAAAATGTCAAGCAACCACTTCCAAGTATCCAAGATATCAGGTATCAAGTATCCAATTTACGTGACAAAGAATCCACCAAAATAATGTCAAGTAAATTAGTCGGCACTAAAAAAGTAGCAGAATCCGCAAAAATTGCAGCTTTTAGAGCAATACAATACTTGAGCCAATTTTTTGTAGATTCCACAACAGTAAGATGATTTTAAAAAAATAGCCTTATTCCAGAATCACGGTTTGGAATTTTGAAAATCTACGGTTTGGCATAGTAATAAGCTTTCCTTTTATTCCTCTCATCCCACAACGCCCAAAAAAACTGCACACAATTTTTTTCAAAAAGGTGTGCTGTTTTTTTTTGGTTTGGCTTGATGAGAGATGTTTCTTGCACAGCAACCGTCTACTCTTGTCACAGTTTGGAGATAGTGATTTTACAACCAAACAAGTTTCCAATAGAACAGGTAATTAAAACGCAAAAACTCCTGAAAACAGCCCGTTTGTAACAAAGTTAGTAACCGTTTCGATGTTCTATAAGAATAGCCAGCCGAGTTATAAATCATTTTAACTCCCTTTCATTCCTTAATCGAGCAATATTTAAAAAAAAAACGCTCAAAATTTATGCTTTTTAGTCTAGTTCGCGATAATTTGGCAGTGATTTAAGCTACTATAGCACAACAATAAAGTATTTCAGCCGTGAATAATGTTTGAAGCTTAATTTAGCGCTTCTTTAACAAAAACACTAGAAGGCTTTCATTAAATTTTAAAAAGTTTTTCGTGACCTTTACATTTTTGCTGTTCGATAGTGGAGTTTGCCTTCCTTTTAACAAAAGATATGAAGTCAACTTAATGCAATGCAAAAACGCCCAAAAATCGTCTTTTTGCAACAAAGTTAGTAACCGTTTCCATGTTCTCCACACCATTTCATTGCTGTTTTTATTTCACTTCTATGCACTTTTAAGAGTATGCACGTGTGTCTTTCCTCTCTCCTATTGTTGGGGGTGATTAATACCTGTGGCAATAGTCTTGCTTTGATATGGCGTCCACGTGGACGAAGATTAAGTCGGTGAGCTCTTTGTCCGGCTTCGTCTGTTTCTGCTCTTCTAGTGCAGCCCCCGTCAACTGAAACAGAACAAGCAATGGGCCTTGAAAATAAACACCAAAATTTAGGCATATGAGCAAATAATACTAATAGTAAAAATTAATCGTAACAAGAACATTCATCTTAACAAGACGATACAAAGACGATATTTCTAGATGTTCAGTGCGGAAAAAATGACCTGGAATGAAAGGAACTTATGTATAGCTGTTGCATCACTGTCAAACAATTATTATGTAAATACGCAGTATCTCTTTCGACTGGTTAACTTGGTAGGACATGGCCAAAATGACAAATTAGAAAAGCGAAAACTCGTCGCACGGCAATTTATCAAAGATGGCCATTTGGTTGCTGTGCGCATTGCTAAATCAATTTGTTTCGAAATACCTATATAATTATCAAAATTGCTGTGCGAAGAGTTGTTGCTTCTTAAAATGCTTCCAATTGTCGCCCCGTGACTTGGCAGGTAGTTCACGATTAGACTGTTTATACACTTGCACAGTCTAGATCGATCGTATCTTCTTTTTACCGCGGAAGAATAACAGTTATTTTCAATGGCAAGTACACAGTAATTGCTATACAAGACTGATTTTTTACCTTTGTCGACATAAGAAATTGCTTTAGTATGTGATCAACAACTTTGCGTTTCATTGAGCAGTCTTTAACAGTTTATTAGCAAAGATTCTTCTGGCTGGCACATTCTGATGCTTCTATTTGCCCATAACAGATTTAAAAATTGACGAGCCAACTTCATTCAGTTTGAAGTACCTTGAGCACTTTTCCGACAGTGTTGAGGGGCTTGTCTGAGTCTGCCTTCTCCAGTATCTTGAGAATTGCACGCTTCAAAGTGTCTTTGAGGAACTCGATGCGTGATATTGACTGCACATGTTGGCCTGTGCTGTCTAGGGTGACGATGCCCATGTTCAAGTACAACTCACTCATGAACAGCATGATGCCCTCCAGCACTTGGTAGTCGTTGGCTGTCGTACAGCTGATCAGGTCGTCCAGTCTGTCGTAGCACTCAGTCGTCACACTGCAATCACAACAAAACTATGCACCCAAATTCGCACCATATATAATTAGACACAAAAATAACAATTAATAATTTCGATTACATTGAACTTACGGCATCTACACTAAGTTTGCATGTAAAAAAATGGAAAGTATAACACCGAAAATTTTACAGAGGCGATGCGGAACTTTGCACCACTTGCGATACAACGCACGCACAGCATTGAAAGTAAGCAAAAACTACAAGCCGGAAATAACAAAATCAAAAAAATTACTAATAAAATCTGCTAATAAAATGTTGACAAAATTATTTTGATCAATTAAAATTTAAAGACTTAGATTTTTTGTGAGACAAGCTACTTGATTTTTAATCCATCTTTTTGTGCCCTTGAAGCTTCACATATCGAAGTAACTAAGCCAATAAAACGAAAGCCGAAAACAATAATACCGAATCCAGCTTTTAAGCAAAACAAAAACAAACACAAAGAAAATATACAAGTCAGGGCTAATAAGTTCATCAACGGATAGATTAAAAACACTAGCAGCTACGACAAAAATTGCTGACTGCAGAAGAAAAATCTAAAATGTGGCAAAGAAGCCGACAAAACATAAATAAACAAGCAAAAATCCGACAATTCAATTTGTATCGGACAGTTTTTTTTATAATTTGATTCATACATAAAAAAACAAGTCCGGTCACAGGATTCGAACTCCAGGCCTAAGGATACAAAGACAACATCCTTACCTCTTGGCAAAGTGAGAAGCAGTCTTGAAGTTCCTTGGGTTCACTAATAAAGTTACTTGAATTCGAACTGCAGATGCTAGAAAGAAAAAAAAGTCTAGTTGCCGATTACCAGACACTTGCTTTCGCGAGTCTAATAAATTAGGCGTTTAAAAAAATTGTGAGATAAATTAAGTTGAAAAATTTCTGAAACGCAGTTTCTATCAATGAACTGCTGGTGACCTCAAAGGTGAAGCTACATTTTTGCTCCACTTCAATATTTTCTGAAGTCAACTATGAGATAAATTCTTTGAACAAAGAGGCGAAGCGGAAATTCTCCCAGTTGCTATACAACACAAAAAAGCCTAGTAGCTAGCCGAAAGACAAATAGACGAAAGCCAGAGCCGAAAAAAATTACACAAAAGCTTCGCCACACTTGCGAAACAAACGAAGCAGGCAGAAAATGTGACGGAATCCACTATGTCACAGAAATTACTATAAAAATCTATTACAAATATTTCATAAACTTGGCTCGAATGATGTTCAATTTCACGAAACATACACAATCATCGCCGTTAAATAAGCATTCATTATCCTTTGCCAAGCTGCATTTGAGCCGACAAAGCTAGGGTAGACAATGAGCCGAAAACAAGGTTGCCATAGAAAATTGTAAGCTGAGCTATAAAATTTCAAAATTTGACGTTTTTCGCACCATTGCACATGAAACAGACCGCCTTGACAAATTTTGCTCTGCCAACGACGCAAACTTAGGCAATAGCATAATCTTAACCGACTTAAGCAAAAAAAATTAATACGCCAAATCAGGTTTATAAATAACAAACTACAGAAAGAGGTTGAGTTATCATTAAAAAGGTTGAATCAGAAGAAAAACTATGCTTTGACGGAAAAATCCCTAAAATCGAAAGTAAGCAGACAAAAAAATAAGCAGACAAACGGTAGCCCATCAATTCACATCGAAGAAGTTCCACATAAGAAAAACTAAAAAGTTCGGCCGGGACTAGTCCTGGTTCCGAAGGGCGTACTCTACCTGAAGACCACATAAGAAGCGGTCACAGGGAAGATAAAGTTCAATAAAGAAAGGAACAAAACACCGAAAAAAAAAAACAACCGAAATTTTTAAATTTCTCTCGAGCGAAGTTAAATTTGAAAAACGTGACAAGAAACAACTTCGAATGCTAGATTAGCCTTGAAACAAAAAATATCAAGTGGTAGCTAAGTAGAAAACACTTATGACCGTTGAACCTATATCAAACTTTGAGCTATATCAAACTTGTCGCCACTTCCACCGAAACACAATAGCATTAGTAATACATTGTCACCTCTACACCAACAAAACAGAAGCAAACACCAATTAAGCCGAAGTAACCTCTAAAACGTAAAATTACAGACGAAAATATGCCAAATCAAAAAAGGTAACAGACACTCGGAAAATAATCAAGAAACGCAAATAAGCAGAAAAAACTGACCTGTTTTTCGAAAAAACTTCCATTGAAATTCAAAGTAAAAAATATATGGTCTTTAAGCTCTTTGAATTTCAACAAAAATTTTTGAGTTGAAATGTTTTGAACATAGCCAATCGAAGATTGGAAAAGAGTAATGAAACAAAAGAGTAAACTGAGATTTTTTTTCTTAAATTTCGAAGAAAAAAAAATGTATGCCCCTTAAGCTCTTCGAATAACATAAGATCTTTTGATAACATTAACCCAACTTGAGAAAACTGGATCATTAGATTAAGGTTTTATTCCGCTGGAAATCTAAAAAGTAAATTCCCCTTTCGAAACTAGAAATCGTTCACGTTTTTTTGCGCCATCTGCACGTTCGTATTTGGAGAGTGCTATTTATGTCACTTTCAGCAAATGAATTTCAATTGAACTCAAGAAGTTCATGTATACTTAAGTGCATTCATAAACGCATCAAAATGTATGAATGCACATCTGTATTTATTAGAGACTTTTAAGCCTTTTCCTGAAAAAAAAAATCAGCAAGACATATCCACTACGTTCATTACTCTAAATAAAATTAATTCAATTTGTGAATACTGGATCAATAGGTAACGTTTTCTTTCCGCTGAGTAACCTGAAAAATGAAAACCACTTTCGAAATTAGAAGTCAACCATATTTTTCCTGACCTTTGCACTATTTTGCTCGATAGTGGAGTTTGCCGTCCTTTAACACAGAGGCGAAGCTTCGCCTCGCAAACAATAACGAGAAACGACAAGAAACAGCTCTAGAAAATGCAATAAGAAAAATAGAAATAAGCTTGGAATTCGATCCGTGATCTACTGCAGTCAAAAGATTTTGAGTCTCAAGCACTAAGCACTCAGCCACGCACGCTTAATCACCCACAAACACTATCACAATTAAAGCAGCTACATGCTAATAAATTGACCATGCAATTCAGCAAAAGTGGCACCAAATACAAATAGACACAATTTTGCAAGTAATAATTTGGAATAAAACTAACTGAAGCGCATAACGTTTATAGTATAAGACACAACCGTTCAAAAAAAGACTTCGCAATTCGTCAGAACAATGAACAAATGATCATTTCAATAATTAGTTTTATCTTTGTCTTCATAATGTCTTATCTCACCTATCGAGAAATACTTTAAGGAAATCGAAGGTTAGCTGTCCAGGAAGAGCGAGGTAGTTTGCCAGTTTCGATCCAGTGTACCGAAAACTTTCACTTTCTATTGCCTGTGAACAAGAAATGATACTAACTTTAACACTATTAAATTGTTTATTAATAGATTGTGTACTTCAATTGCTTTACCCATTTCACCAAAGTAGCGACTATTTCTTTGATAACTTCTGTTGGTACGGTGTTTGTGAAGTTGAGACTTTCTATGAGAAAGGGCACGCGTTCGTCAAACGCAGTCGGGTTTTTACTGAGTTCTAAGACTAGGTTCTTGAATTCGTTTATTAGCGAATCGTGATGGACGTTGCCGGTGCTGACTGGCTGCAACACAGCTGGCCTATTGTTGTCCATGAGCATCTGGAATTCACTCAAGTGCTGATTGGCAGAAGACAGTGACGTCTGCTGTTGCATTTGAGGTTGGGGGTGCTGGGAAAGCTAGAAACAAAACATCAGCACTTCAAAAACAGAAAGGGCAGTAGGATAGTGGGTCCAAAGGGTCCGCTCTTGTACTATTTTGAGATCTCGACAAAACTATTTAGAGCTCGGAAAAACAATTTAGTCAACCTACGAAAAGGTCGACAAAACTTTCGAACATTTAACGAAAATCCGTGCCACCTCGAGAAGGGGCAATCTAGCTGATGGATTCATCTAAAATGCATACGCTTGGAATCTTTTCAAGCACAGGCCCGGATTAAATTAAATTTTGGTAGCCTATTCAAACACCAACTCCGACACCCATATCCACATATAGTAAAGATGGTTCGTATCAAAACATCCTCGAGATTGAACATTTGCCATATAATTCAGAGCAAAAAGAATGAAGTCGCAAGTCTCTCACTCAATGAGATGGACAAAAACAAATATAATTCAGGAGCCTTGCAAATGATTTCTGATATTTGGTAGAGATTTTTTTCTTTACTTGAAAGTGAGGTACTTCAAATCAAAAACAAGAAATGACAAGAGATTAATTGGTGACAGGCGATCGTTAATAGCTCGATAGTGGTATGACCAATTGCTCTTCCATGAAATACAACACATACGTGAGAATGGCCATTCGAAAAATGCGCATTTCCATTGCTGATTGACATGTTTGAGAAGCCGTTGCCCAAATCTGAAGAATGATCTGAAACAGAAAAAATTAAAAATATTAAAACCAACTTACTTTTTCTTATAATCATTAAACTTTATAACCCCTCTTCCTAAGATAGTAGAACTTGATGGGTAGAAAGCACTACCATAATCAGACCAACAAAATAACAAAAGCAATTTTGATTTCATTTTCAAAGTGTACTTATGGTGCTGAAGATTCGTTAACACGATTTAAGTGTCAACAGTATGACCATAACTGGCTACCGCAAAAAGTTCGAGCAGCCATGTGTTCATATGTGCGTTCAGAGGCTGACCATTATTCGTTGGCCGTCTCTAATCCTTACAATATCCTAAAAAAAAAACAACTTCCGTTCGAGCAGCCATGTGTTCATATGTGCGTTCAGAGGCTGACCATTATTCGTTGGCCGTCTCTAATCCTTACAATATCCTAAAAAAAAAAAAAACTTCCGTCCGAGCAGCCATGTGTTCATATGAGCGTTCAGAGGCTGACCATTATTCGTTGGCCGTCTCTAATCCTTACAATATCCTAAAAAAAAAAACTTCCGTTCGAGCAGCCATGTGTTCATATGTGCGTTCAGAGGCTGACCATTATTCGTTGGCCGTCTCTAATCCTTACAATATCCTAAAAAAAACAACTTCCGTCCGAGCAGCCATGTGTTCATATGTGCGTTCAGAGGCTGACCATTATTCGTTGGCCGTCTCTAATCCTTACATTATCCTAAAAAATAACTTCCGTTCGAGCAGCCATGTGTTCATATGTGCGTTCAGAGGCTGACCATTATTCGTCAGCCGTCTCTAATCCTTACAATATCCTAAAAAAAACAACTTCCGTTCGAGCAGCCATGTGTTCATATGTGCGTTCAGAGGCTGACCATTATTCGTTGGCCGTCTCTAATCCTTACAATATCCTAAGAAAACAACTTCCGTTCGAGCAGCCATGTGTTCATATGTGCGTTCAGAGGCTGACCATTATTCGTTGGCCTTCTCTAATCCTTACAATATCCTAAAAAAAAACAACTTCCGTTCGAGCAGCCATGTGTTCATATGTGCGTTCAGAGGCTGACCATTATTCGTTGGCCGTCTCTAATCCATACAATATCCTAAAAAAAACAACTTCCGTTCGAGCAACCATGTGTTCATATGTGCGTTCAGAGGCTGACCATTATTCGTTGGCCGTCTCTAATCCTTACAGGATCCTAAAAAATAACTTCCGTTCGAGCAGCCATGTGTTCATATGTGCGTTCAGAGGCTGACCATTATTCGTCAGCCGTCTCTAATCCTTACAATATCCTAAAAAAAAACAACTTCCGTTCGAGCAGCCATGTGTTCATATGTGCGTTCAGAGGCAGACCATTATTCGTTGGCCGTCTCTAATCCTTACAATATCCTAAAAAAAACAACTTCCGTTCGAGCAGCCATGTGTTCATATGTGCGTTCAGAGGCTGACCATTATTCGTTGGCCGTCTCTAATCCTTACAATATCCTAAAAAAAAACAACTTCCGTTCGAGCAGCCATGTTTTCATATGTGCGTTCAGAGGCTGACCATTATTCGTTGGCCGTCTATAATCCTTACAATATCCTAAAAAAAAACAACTTCCGTTCGAGCAGCCATGTATTCATATGTGCGTTCAGAGGCTGACCATTCTTCGTTGGCCGTCTCTAATCCTTACAATATCGTTAAAAAAACAACTTCCGTTCGAGCAGCCATGTGTTCATATGTGCGTTCAGAGGCTGACCATTATTCGTTGGCCGTCTCTAATCCTTACAATATCCTAAAAAAAACAACTTCCGTTCGAGCAGCCATGTGTTCATATGTGCGTTCAGAGGCTGACCATTATTCGTTGGCCGTCTCAAATCCTCACAATATCCTTTAAAAAAAAAAACTTCCGTTCGAGCAGCCATGTGTTTATATGTACGTCCAGAGGCTGACCATTATTCGTTGGCCGTCTCTAATCCTTACAATATCCTAAAAAAAACAACTTCCGTTCGAGCAGCCATGTGTTCATATGTGCGTTCAGAGGCTGACCATTATTCGTTGGCCGTCTCTAATCCTTACAATATCCTAAAAAAAACAACTTCCGTTCGAGCAGCCATGTGTTCATATGTGCGTTCAGAGGCTGACCATTATTCGTTGGCCGTCTCTAATCCTTACAATATCCTAAGAAAACAACTTCCGTTCGAGCAGCCATGTGTTCATATGTGCGTTCAGAGGCTGACCATTATTCGTTGGCCTTCTCTAATCCTTACAATATCCTAAAAAAAAACAACTTCCGTTCGAGCAGCCATGTGTTCATATGTGCGTTCAGAGGCTGACCATTATTCGTTGGCCGTCTCTAATCCATACAATATCCTAAAAAAACAACTTCCGTTCGAGCAACCATGTGTTCATATGTGCGTTCAGAGGCTGACCATTATTCGTTGGCCGTCTCTAATCCTTACAGGATCCTAAAAAATAACTTCCATTCGAGCAGCCATGTGTTCATATGTGCGTTCAGAGGCTGACCATTATTCGTCAGCCGTCTCTAATCCTTACAATATCCTAAAAAAAAACAACTTCCGTTCGAGCAGCCATGTGTTCATATGTGCGTTCAGAGGCAGACCATTATTCGTTGGCCGTCTCTAATCCTTACAATATCCTAAAAAAAACAACTTCCGTTCGAGCAGCCATGTGTTCATATGTGCGTTCAGAGGCTGACCATTATTCGTTGGCCGTCTCTAATCCTTACAATATCCTAAAAAAAAACAACTTCCGTTCGAGCAGCCATGTTTTCATATGTGCGTTCAGAGGCTGACCATTATTCGTTGGCCGTCTATAATCCTTACAATATCCTAAAAAAAAACAACTTCCGTTCGAGCAGCCATGTATTCATATGTGCGTTCAGAGGCTGACCATTCTTCGTTGGCCGTCTCTAATCCTTACAATATCGTTAAAAAAACAACTTCCGTTCGAGCAGCCATGTGTTCATATGTGCGTTCAGAGGCTGACCATTATTCGTTGGCCGTCTCTAATCCTTACAATATCCTAAAAAAAACAACTTCCGTTCGAGCAGCCATGTGTTCATATGTGCGTTCAGAGGCTGACCATTATTCGTTGGCCGTCTCAAATCCTCACAATATCCTTAAAAAAAAAAACTTCCGTTCGAGCAGCCATGTGTTTATATGTACGTCCAGAGGCTGACCATTATTCGTTGGCCGTCTCTAATCCTTACAATATCCTAAAAAAAAACAACTTCCGTTCGAGCAGCCATGTGTTCATATGTGCGTTCAGAGGCTGACCATTATTCGTTGGCCGTCTCTAATCCTTACAATATCCTAAAAAAAAAACAAATTCCGTTCGAGCAGCCATGTGTTCATATGTTCGTTCAGAGGCTGACCATTATTCGTTGTCCGTCTCTAATCCTTACAATTTCCTTTAAAAAATAAACAACTTCCGTTCGAACAGCCATGTGTTCATATGTGCGTTCAGAGGCTGACCATTATTCGTTGGCCGTCTCTAATCCTTACAATATCCTAAAAAAAAACTTTCGTTCGAGCAGCCATGTGTTCATATGTGCGTTCAGAGGCTGACCATTATTCGTTGGCCGTCTCTAATCCTTACAATATCCTAAAAAAAAACAACTTCCGTTCGAGCAGCCATGTGTTCAAATGTGCGTTCAGAGGCTGACCATTATTCGTTGGCCGTCTCTAATCCTTACAATATCCTAAAAAGAAAAAACTTCTGTTCGAGCAGCCATGTGTTCATATGTGCGTTCAGAGGCGGACCATTATTCGTTGGCCGTCTCTAATCCTTACATTATCCTAAAAAATAACTTCCGTTCGAGCAGCCATGTGTTCAGATGTGCGTTCAGAGGCTGACCATTATTCGTTGGCCGTCTCTAATCCTTACAATATCCTAAAAAAACAACTTGGGTTCGAGCAGCCATGTGTTCATATGTGCGTTCAGAGGCTGACCATTATTCGTTGGCCGTCTCTAATCCTTACAATATCCTAAAAAAATAACTTCCGTTCGAGCAGCGATGTGTTCATATGTGCGTTCAGAGGCTGACCATAATTCGTTGACTGTCTCTATTCCTTACAATATCCAACAAAAATAACTTCCGTTTGAGCAGCCATGTGTTCAGATGTGCGTTCAGAGGCTGACCATTATTCGTTGGCCGTCTCTAATCCTTACAATATCCTAAAAAATAACTTCCGTTCGAGCAGCCATGTGTTCAGATGTGCGTTCAGAGGCTGACCATTATTCGATGACCGTCTCTAATCCTTACAATATCCTAAAAATAATTAACTTCCGTCCGAGCAGCCATGTGTTCATATGTGCGTTCAGAGACTGACCATTATTCGTTAGCCATCTCTAATCCTTACAATATCCTAAAAAATAACTTCCATTCGAGCAGCCATGTGCTCAAATGTGCGTTCAGAGGCTGAACATTATTCGTTGACCGTCTCTTATCCTTACAATATCCTAAAAAATAACTTCCGTTCGAGCAGCCATGTGTTCAGATGTCCGTTCAGAGGCTGACCATTATTCGTTGACTGTCTCTAATCCTTACAATATCCTATAAAAATAACTTCCGTTCGAGCAGCCATGTGTTCATATGTGCGTTCAGAGACTGAACATTTTTCGTTGACCGTCTCTTATCCTTACAATGTCCTAAAAAATAACTTCCGTTCGAGCAGCCATGTGTTCAGATGTGCGTTCAGAGGCTGACCATTATTCGTTGACTGTCTCTAATCCTTACAATATCTTATAAAAATAATTTCCGTTCGAGCAGCCATGTGTTCATATGTGCGTTCAGAGGCTGACCATTATTCGATGGCCGTCTCTAATCCTTACAATATCCTAAAAAACATTAACTTCCGTCCGAGCAGCCATGTGTTCATATGTGCGTTCAGAGACTGACCATTATTCGTTGACTGTCTCTAATCCTTACAATATCCTTAAAAATAACTTCCGTTCGAGCAGCCATGTGTTCAGATGTGCGTTCAGAGGCTGACCATTACTCGTTGGCCGTCTCTGATCCTTACAATATCCT